TGGGACTGATGTCTGACAAGAGTCAACCCTAACATTATTTACTTCCTACAGAGCCAGTGGAGAGATTTCCTTTCCAAAACAAAATGTACCAAAGCTTCACTTGGGCTACCAAGAATCGCAAATGGGTAAGGTTGGAAGGGGCCACGGGAGGTCATCTAGTCCAACCCCCCTGCTCAAGCAGAGTTCCCTGGAGCACATTATTCTGGATTGTGTCCAGGCAGCTTTTTAATATCTCCAGGCAACAAGACTCCTCAACCTCTCTGGGCAACCTACTGCACCAAGAATCATTTGGGATGCAGATTTTTGGAATTTCCTCAGCAGCAGCCAGGAAACAAGAGTAACAAGAGAAGACTTGCTCACATTGTTGTTTCCAAAGCAGATTTTTCTTTCATGCCATGGGTCAGGATGGAGCTGATCCCATAACACAGCAGAGAAAGCAGAGCAGCAAAGGTTATAGGCAGCTCAGGTTCAGTGCAAAATGGTGATTCACACAAAAGCAAGCAAGCAGAGACTGACTGCAATACAAATGAAGACTGAGGAGGAAGAAGAGGTGGATGCTGAGTAAGGCAGTGCAATGGTAAGTGATGAGAACAAGGCCATGACTCCTCCCCTGGACAGGGTGATATTGTCTGACGGTTCCAGCAAGGGAGCCAGGAGCATTGCCCCAACCCAGATCACTGCTGACTCTAATCAGCTGTCTTGTTTCTCACATGAAAATATTTGTGCACTTCCCAGGAAAACTTCTGTATCTCTTCCAAAGTGATTTGATATTCTGAAATGAAAGGACAGCCATATGCCACAATGCTCCTCTGAAAAATGGAGATGGGCAAAGAAACACACAAAAGGCATGTACATGGTAGGTGTTACAGACCCAGATGGTTACAGGAGGGGGTGTTCTCCTCTCTGCATCTGATGTACAACAGCCATCCACGGTGAGCAGCCCTCTCTCACCACAACGCAGGAAGAAGACGTGCACTCCTTCTTACCAGGCAGCCCCAGGCAGCTTCCCTCGCTGCCTTCCCATCCCTGATGTTGCAGGCAGCCAAGGGCCCTGAGATGACACAAAGGCCGAGCTCATCAGGTGGGACACCACCAGGGGCAGAAGAAATGAAACCAAAAGATTTCTGAGAAAACGTTTGTGTGAGGCTTCCACGAGGTGTCAGCAACAGCTATTATTCATCAGAGCTGAACAGAGTGCCTGGGGCTGCCATCCGCCTCCTCACATGGCATGTCCTCACCAAAGGAGAACAAATCCAGTCTAGTGACTGCCAGCAGCTCTGCGCTGTGTCTCTGCGCAGGATGGCCAGTCTGTTCCTGTCTAACACAACAGAGCAGAGGGTCTCCCATGCACAACAAGAACCCCAGGGACCAGAACAACATACTTGTATATCATCCCTGATAAAGTACTCACCAGCTAAAACAGGATGGTTGAAGCAGCGTTACTGCACCCCATGAGTGGAATGGTGGTGGCACAGAGAGATTAAATTGAAGATCAGTGATGTACCTGTGGCGAGAGGGGGACATAGAGTGGATATTCCAGCCCAGTGCTCCTACTGCCAAACCCCTGACTCTCCTCATTCCTTACCTCACTCTGAAGATGTGCAATTTTAGCTAAAAAGGACATTAGGAATTTCTATCTGACTTTTTGATGAAGATCCCAGAGGCTTAAAGTGAAGTGACAGTTGTGCTGCTCCAGCTCACCATGGGTCTGGAGCTGTTGTCTGAACTCTGCTGACCTTTGGTCCTGAGCCTGCCTCCTTCCAGAGGAGACTGTTAAGTGTTCAGAGTCAAACAAACCCATGCACAAATTCCTTACAAGGACTGGATTAAACTCGGTGTCTTTCAGCCCTGTTCAAGGATGAAGGATATACTCTTTGCCCATCTTCAATCTCATGCTCAAACCCAGCACTAGACCATGTTCAGTGTACTCCCTGATTGTGCCTATTTTTATTTTGCTCTTAATTACACCCACAGTCATGTTCATTAAGTCAAAATTATCCTGCCCTCAATTTAACAAAATCCTTAGGAAGCAAATGACGTCTGACACAAAAAATGGCAGAGCTTTTCCCTTTGTCCGATTACGTAGTTGGGGTTTCCGTAGTATTAAGAGGGTTTTAGTTGGTCACTGGCTGGAGAAACCATAGGATCAAGGTCCCGGAGGAGGGTGAAGATGAAAATAGCTCTGAGAGGACACGTCACGCTACTCAGATGGGGTTGCACCGACGGAGTAATCTCCGTCATGTGCCAAGGAACCTGTGATAAGCCCTCTCATAGCCGGATAAGTAATAAGATCAGTTACTTAATTCAAAGTGATTAAAACCAGGCTGGACTGCAAACAAACAAGTCATGTTCATAGGTCTGTGCAAAAAAAATACATATCAGAAAATTAAAACTTTTCTGGCCTGTCCTGTTGCATCACTAGTGCTGAGCTCCCTATAAACTATTTTGGGGGAAAATGTAATCCAGCGCGGCTCACAAAAAGGCTGCATTTCCGACAGGCAGGCTCCCGCTTCAAATGTATGTGACAAATACAATTTGCAAAGGGTTACCCACCAGCTGAGAGGCAAAAAGGACTCGGCATGCTCTGGCCTATTTTTTAGCCAGTGCTGGGGTCCACAGCACACTATGGTTGTAGCCATTCCCACCACCTCCACAGGAGAGCTTGGTGTGAATAACACTCCACTTCTACACCAAAGACATTAATTTCCCACACCAAAGCCAATTTGGCTTTGCAACTATGCTAATGCCCTGCCTTTGGGCTTTGCCACCACTTGGTTTGCCCAGGCATGTATGGAGGATGAATAGAAAGAGCCAGGCAACCTGACTTATCACCACACTGGACATCCAAATCAATGGCAATGTCCTGGGAACAGCTAGAAAAGGACGTGGGATTCTCATCAGGCATCATTCTCATCATCTGTGGCTGCCCCAGAGCAGGCAGCACACAGAGATGTGGCAAGTACCACTGCCATCAGCGACGGGCAGCAAGGCACATGCAGACAAAAGGATAGCTGTAGAATCAGCTACTTTTAAACCATTTCTTTCAATCCTGCACTTTAGTACAAATTATCCCATGCCTGCAATGACAGGACATGACTGATGGGTGAGTGCCCTGGTGATAGCAGGGAGTGGTGAAGCGGCTGCCTTTAATGAGTTTTCACCTGGAATCGGAAACGAGCAGTGAAAGAGGATTTTCTGTGCCGTGGCTGACATCCAAGACGCCAGGAGCTGTGGAGGATCCAAGGGGATCCTCGGATGACGAATCGTGCTGACAAATGCTGGACGTAATTCTCTCCGGCAAAGCAGCTCAGTGGACGTTATCCTTCTTTTATTCTCTTCCCTCAGATGTGGTCAGCAGGAGTTTTAAGTGTGGCAGTGGCGTGCAGGATTCTCCCCCACCTGCCTGCACCCCCCCACGCAGAACCCCAGGGTTTGGTGTGAGCATTGTGTGGCAGGGAAGAAGTTACAAAGCAAACCAAGCACAGTTTAAGCATTGTTTCCCTGGCTGAATAGAGGTTCAGAAGAGGCACAACAAAGGGGATGGCTGTTCCTGCCAGCTTTGTACTCACTGGGGTCATCGCAATGGTTGGTAGCGTGATGTGGGCTCTCGTCCTGTCTCCCCAAGCGGCTTTGCAGAGAGGGCTCCAGGGAAACAGAACATTTCATCCCAGGTCTAGTGACCTCAGTGTGCATGAGCATCTCCCATTCCAGCAGCAAATAGAGCAGCTGGAGAACTCCAAGGACAGAGAAACCAGAGTGGTAGCCTCTGTACCCATCAGTGGCTGGCATTGGCAACCTGCACATGCCAGTCTGATCTTCCTGACTGCGAAGACAATGGTTGCTGGGGTCAAACAGTGAGGGAAATGCTCTGAGGGGGATATGGATGGAGCATATCCCAGTATTTGCTATCAGTAAGGAGGCCTTATAAGAGATCAGTAATGCCAGCACTTGCTTTCCCAGTGTGCGACTCTTACCTGTACACATTCATTTTAGGGTAAAGGGACTGCAGGTGCCCAAGGGGAGCCCCTGATGCAGGGCTGCAGGCAGTGTTGGGCTCACCCCATGCCATGACAATCTCCTTGTTCTTCTGTAGCCCAAACTTGACACGTGCCTGTCAGCGGGAAGGGCTGCAAGCAAATGTCACTCTCTGGAGAAAAGTGAGAGCCACAAGTTTAGCAACAAGCGCACGTGTGTGCACATGTGCCCAGGGGCAGTGCCAGACCCCAGCCTGAGCCACCCATGGGGATGGCCCGGGGATAAGCCAAGAACTGGCACGGCCAGGCTGAGCCCTGTCAGGGCGGGCAGGGGGGTGTGACACCGCCGGCCCCGACATCCATGTACTCCAGAACTGCAGGTCTGCAGCCTCGCAGGCCCAGGAGCCCGGGTGTCCCACAGCCCCTGTGCACAGGCCCAGATGCCATCTACCCTTGGCCCATGTGTCCAGGCCCTGGTGTGCCCCGGATCCCACAGACTCTGGATCCCATGCCCCCGGGACTCATGTGCCCTCTGCTCTCTGCACCCCATATCCCCAAGGCCCCATACGACCAGGACGCCATGTACCGGGACTCCATACCTTTGGGACCCCAGAACCCCGCTCTGCTGGGACTCCATATTCCTGGACCTCATACCCCCGGGAACCCCCTCATATCCCTCCACCCCCGGACCCCACCCCCCCATACCCCAAGAACCCCATATCCCTGGGCCCTTCGCTCCCGGTAGCCCCGATCCCTACGCTCCCGTGACCCCTCAGCCCGTGCCCCGGCCCCCCGTGCCCCCGCCCCCGGCCCGCGGCATTCCCGCCCCGCCCCCGCGGGACTCCGAGCCCTCAGCCAAGTTTCTTGGAACTTTGCCTGGGTGACGCACGCGCCGGCGCCGGGTCCCGTCCTCCCGGCGCAGCCAATGGGCGGCCGGGGCGCCGGGGCGGCGGCCAATCGGCGTTGGCCGGACAGTTCCCCGGTCCTGACCGACCTTCACCGCCCGGGCGGGGGGGGCGGATAAAAGGGCCCCGCGGCGGCGCGCGGCGCTCCCGCTTCCCGCCCCTTCACTGCGGCGGACACGGCACCGGCGGCACCGGCGGCGAGGTGAGCGCCGGGAGCGGGGGGAGGGAGGCCGTTCCCGTGCACCGGATCCCTGTGCGCCAGGGATATGGGCGTCCTGTGCACTGCGGAGAGGCCGTTCCCCGGTACCGGGTGTTYCTGCACGGGAATAAGGGTATCCAGTGCACCGCGGGGAGGCCGTTTACCCGTACCGGTTTCCCGTGCGCCAGGGACATGGGCGTCCTGTGCGCAGAGGGGAGGCCGTTTCCTTGTACCGGGTCTCCGTGTACCGGGGACATGGGTGCCCCGTACACCGGGAGCAGGGACGGAGGAAGGGAGGGAGGGATGGCTATCCCGTGCATCGGGGTACGGGTGTCTCCTGCACCGGCGTGCTGCGGCGGCTCGCTGTCCCCCGCGCCGGCGGGGAGGCGGGAGGACCAGCCCGGCGAGCCCCGGAAGCAGCCCAGCGAGCCCCGGCCGCCCGGCACTGACCGCCCGTCCGCTCCCGCAGGTCCGGGCCGATGGTGGGAGGCAGCCCCCGGCAGAGCCCGGCCGCACGCCATGCCCTGGAGCGTCCGCTGGGTCGGCGGCTGCGGCGCCCAGTCCCAGAAGCAGTGCAAGAAATCCTCCTTCGCCTTCTACCAGGCGGTGAGGGACCTGCTGCCCGTCTGGTTCCTGGAGGACATGCGGACCATGGAGGTCTTCCACTGGGAGGACGGGGGCAAGGTGAGCGTGTACTCGCCCTCCGAGGCGCTGCTCTACGCGCTGGTGCACGACCACCAGCCCTACGCCCGGCATCTGCTCACTAAGTTCCCGCAGAGCGCCCTGGCCGTGCCCAGCCAAAGCTTCAGCTGCTGCCAGTCAGCCCCGCACCTGACCATGGCCGTCCGCTACAACCGCGTGCGGGTGCTCTTCCGAATCCTCAAGGCCATCCAAGCCTTGCCCCCGAGTGACAGAGCCGGCCACCTGGACCGGCAGGGCTGCAGCCGCGTGGAGGGCGGCAAGACAGCCTTGCACATGGCCTGCGAACTGGTGCGGCCCGAGTGCCTGCTCCTGCTGCTGGGACACGGCGCGTCACCCTGCCTGCAGGACAGTGCTGGGAACACCCCCCTCGACACCCTGCTGCAGCAGATCTCCCACATGCCGGCAGCTAACATGCGTGCCAAGCTCCTCTGCCTCGACTGCCTCTTCTTCTTCGTGCCTCAGGACCTCAAGTTTGCAATGAAGCAGCAACTGTTGGACAACCGGCAGCAGTGGCAGGACCTCCTGGGGGAGAACAGGTACCAGTGCCTGGTGGGCTTAGCTCCCCCRTCRCTGTTTGTCGGAGCCATGCGTGTCTTGATCAGGACCATTTCGCCTGAGCACTTCCCAGAGGCTCTGGACAATCTACCTTTGCCTCATTTTCTAAAGCCTTTGGACTTGAAACTGGAGAGCTAGAAGGGTGGTATGAGAGCCTCCCGCTCACCTGACGGAAATAGACTTGTGCTAAAAATGTATCAATATAAAAAGCTGCTAATGCGGTGGCCAAGTATCTGTTTTAATGAGAACAGTATTTTTAAGAATTGTATCTGGCACTTTACGATATATTTTATTTAAAGATCCTTGGGGTGAGGAGAGGGCCGTGCTGCATTTTATAAAGATGTTCTATGGCATGTACAAATGAGGGTATGTGGAAGAACATATTTGTAAATACTTCCAAATAAACCAGTGGCAGATGTGATCAAAATACAAATCAAGCAGCTGAAAACCCTGGAGTGGCATGTGCCTTGGAAAAGCGTRTGCAGGGTGGGGGAGTATCTTTTTGTTAGGATTTCCCTGTTACATAAGCCTCGCCGTCCTGGAACAGGATGACTCCTTTTTACAGCTCTCCTAATACATCTTGGCAGAGATGCGGGTTTTTTTTAAAGGCACAGATGAAAACTTCCTCCTCTTGTATACAAGACCAAAGAGAAGCCAGATACTGTTACAACTTCCCTAAACAAGGCTGGCAAGGATGTGCATCTGAACAAAATATATTTTAAAATATGCATAAATAACAGTTGGGTTCCTTGCAAAGCTGTCTCTGTTCCCCTTGGAGGGCCAAGGTGTTGTCATGCAGAGAGAGATGGAGCACACACATTGCTGTGGCCAAAAATGTTCCTGCCCTGGCARGGCTGGACCCCGCAGCCCCTCTGTGTGATTGCTGCAGGGTGGGAGGTTAGCACAGAGCAGGAGGGCCAGCCTGCTCTTCCCAGAGGGATGAAAGGAGGAGGTATGGCAATGGCYCAGGATCCTAGACCATGCCTTTTTTCAGTGTATTCTGGCCACTCTACTGCCCCTCCCCATCAGAGWGTTATGGCTGAGGTTCAGCTGAGAGAAGTCCACTCTGAATACTCGAGAAGTAGGTTAAATATCCAACCTTTCCCCCACTGTCCCTTTTGAGATGCTCCAAGGTACAAATATCCTCACAGCTGCTCCAAATCAAAAAGCCCTTTAGGGGTAATGTTCTGCTTCCAACACTTCTGTTTGGACCGAGCAAAGGGTACAGCTTCAGTTCTTTGCTCTGCAACCTTTGCCCTTGAGCATTCYGGGCAGTCCCTATGTGACTGGCACTGCCCCTGTGTGCTCTGCAGGGAGCTGTGCAAGCTCCACCAGCCCTGCAGTGATAGTGATCGCCTAGGCCACAGCGCTGTAGCCTTGGCTCTGTCCTTGGAAGTTGTCATTGAAACTGTAGGGTTTTGTTTCAGTGCTTAAATTCATAGCGAGGGAGTTGTTTGCCACTTGAACTATTTCAGCACTGCTGTTTCCTCTGGGGTCATCAAAGAACTGATGTGCTTAGGAGAGAAGAGCCATATTCAAGGCACAAACTTTGTTATTCATGAATTAATTTTGGTTAAAGAGAAAAAAAAAGAAAACCACAGAATTAGGCCCTATAACCTGTTCATGTTTCAGCAGAACAGAGTGGTGTTTCATCTAAAATAGTCTCCATAATGCATGCACAATGAAAGATAAGCCATACTTCTGAAATTTAAGAAGAAACAGAAAGATTGCTATTCTTAGCCTGATAGCACTGAAAATGTTTCATAGAAAAGAAAAGAAAATGTTCTTTTTTTCCTAAGAAACCAAGSTGGTACATGCTCAAACCCATTACCATGGAAAATTCAAGTCCCTTGCTGGAAAACATGGAACAGTTCTAACTGTTCTCTTTAGCTACCTTGTTATTTATAAAAATACAGAAATCCAGAAAATTAATCCAAATTGTCTAAACCTAGCCACTTAAAAAAATTAAAAAGTAAATGTATCTCTGTTGATACATTCTTTATTTGAGTAYACATTCCCCATTGCTTCTGTAACAATGGTGGGGAAGCATGTCTCAAAACAGACAAGTAGTAAAGCAGTCATGTCTAACTTGCACACAGCAAAGTGTCATGAGGTGGGGGAAGAGACAGAGCTGGGGGTGGGAGGGAATGTTTATCAGCTTTGCTAACAAAGACTTAACGAGATTCAGCAGTGGGGAGCTGGTTGGTTGAACTGAGCACTGGAAGAAACTCTCAAGCTGTGAGGGTAATTACACAATGGAACAGCACAACAGGCTGGACAGGACATCCTACACYTTCAAATGAGCCCTTTAACAAAGCACGAATTCAAGGCAAAGGCTACCCTGTGACTCCTTAGAGCCCTCCCACCAGCTCTGGGGTAATTCATTTCAATAAACACAACGGRTCCCCTCATGTTGTGATGGGTCCAAAGCCAGCTGACTGCTGTGCCCTTCCTGTTATTCTGGGACAGGAGTCAGACTTGGTGCYGAGCCCACGCTGGGGTGRCTCTGCCAAAGGTCACCGACAGCCCTCGCTGCGTGTGGCTCGTTGATGYCTGCCATGCTTCATCTGGAGTGCAACTGTGGGCAAACTGCACCAGTGACCACACGGATCACTCACCCAGCTGGGTCCAGGCTTGTTTTTCAGGCACAGTCACAGTTTGAAAAAAGGCTGGGGCTTCTTGGCATTGGCAACAGAAGTTCTTTGTTTATAGAGCAATAGCAGCATCAGCTTTCCTCAGTGACCTGCCAGCACATCTCTGTCTTCTGCCACCTRTAGGGCACAGTGGAGTGCAGGCTGCACAGCTATTCAGTTTTCCACCTCTTGGAGAATTCTACCAACAAAAGTACCAATAAGTGGCAGCTGCACCACTGACAAGCTTAATAAAGCAAACATGGATACTGATTATGTCATTGAAGAGGTCTGTGGTGCTAGAGCCAGGAAGCTGGCCACAAAGGTGTGGGAAAGAAGATTCACCAAGTCCTAACACCATGGGAGCACAGGGGTAAGGAAATAAGACTTGAAAGCTTCTGTCTTACCTGCAGGTTAACCTTACAGGTTAAAGTTTACACACAAGGCCAATTACTCATCCATCGAAAATGCCTTCCAAAAGTGTGCGAGGCAGCAGACAGAACCAGCATTCCCGAAAAGCTTGTTTACAGTCAGTCCTCTAAAACACTTTCTATCAGGAAACAGTGATGAAATCTATTAAATATGTCCCATGGGTTGCTCAAGCACTCTCAAACCAGAGGATTCATATATTATCCACCTTGTAGTACAAAGGGGTTTTATTTGCTGTGACASGTAAAAAAGGCCTGAAACATTTTCATTCAGAAAGCAAGGGGAGAGAGGAAGTACTTGGTAAGTTTTGACTTTGCAATTGACTCCCCATTGCAGCTCCCAAAGTTCAGCCTGCCTATAATCTGCTGAAGGAGATGAAGTCTATTGTGATTTTGATTAACTTGTTTGTGCTCTTTAACAGTCTTCTTTTACCCTGGCACAGAGGGAAAAGAAGGAAAGACAGAGACTAGAAAGGGGCCAGGGTGCCAGGTTTGTTTCCTAATTCCTATTTGTCCTCTGTTTGGTGGAGCCCTATGGGTTTTTGACTTGCAATATAAGAAATTACTGACATCAGCAGATCCTTGTGCATTGCATCATCCCATCCAGGCAAACAAGGCACCCATGCCATGTGCTTAATATCTAAAGAGCACTGTAAATCCTTGCAARCCAAGGATTGATTGTTGTTTCATAACATCTAAGTTAATAACAGTACTTCCATCACTTCTTGGTGTCAGTACCTGTCTGAGGCTACACAACATAAATTCCCAGCCTGGCTTCAGTGGTCTCTCCTCCTCCACCTACAAYGTGTGAAAAGGAAGTTCTGYTTTTGACTTGCTCAGACCACATCAAACTGYCCTCTATTACCAAAAATCTCATCTATGGTGCTGCAAGGCTGCTGCTTGCATTGATTTACTCCTGCTCTTCCCACCACACAGATACCTGTGCACGTGTAGCACAAGAGTAAAAGGAGCTGAGCTCCCTCACAAAGCCTAACTCAGCAGTCATAGCTGCAAACACATCAGAGTTTCCTCTCTGCTGCTAYAAGAAATGGAACCAAGTTCAGATGGGGTACAAAGATTGCCCTGATGACCTCTGAAATGACCCGTATCTGCTTGCCCACTGGTTTAGTGGATAAATGAAAAAAATCACACAACTCAACAAAGCAAATCTTCAGAAGCCTCAAATGAAGAGAAATTCATGTTTAGGAATTATTGCTAAAGCCAGGAGAGCCTGATCATCTARTCTTAATTGTGTATGACCCAGGCCAGCGGTTCCTGTGTTGGGCTTATCACATCTGATTGATTTGCAGTATCTCTTTTAAATCCAACCTTACTTTATTGATTTTTAAATTGTGGCACATCCAAAACTCTCTGAGGAACCTGTAGCTGAGCCAAGTAAAAGTCACATCCAACTAACCTCAATCTCTCATCTGTCCCTAAACCCCAAAAAATCCCTTACCTTCAACCCTGCCTCCTTATTATGTAGGAAAAAATACCCTCTTCCTAATACAAACGTGAGAGTTGACCATAATGGATCTGAGTCAGCAAGGAGAGAGGCAGAGACAATTCAGAGAAACAAGGAAGGCAGAGATCTGTCCCATACTTCAGCTTTCTGAGCCAAGTTTTAGCAAGTCTSAGGCAGTAAATCAGGACCTGTATGAGCTCCAGACCCTCCAGCCATTGTAAGGTTATGTTCCCTGTACTGCAATGTGATAGGAAACAGAGCAAATCARCCCCTYTCCTKCAGGAAAGCAAATTAGGCCTGAAAAGCTCARTTCCCCAGTTCAGAAGCTATGTCAAGCCACCTGCATGCCTGGGATATGAGGGGTGACCATGGACCAGTCTCCCTATTCCTGTGCTCCCCAAATAAGGCAAACACAAAGCAGTAAGCTCCATGGACCTCAACAGGGAGATGAACCATTAACACCAGACAAATCCTTCCCGCAGGGTCCTCTGTGGAAAGCAATGGAAGGAGGCCAAGGGAGGGCAGAGAGACTTCCAGGCAGAAAGGACTTGGCTCAGCCAGGGCAGGGAGCAGCTTCCAGCTCCAAGGAGGGCAGCACCATCCCTGCCTCTGGCCCCCCAATTCCTGCAGCATTTTCTGTGAGTGCCACAGCTCCTCTCCCACAGTCTCATGGCTCTGGAGCAGACTGGCTGTCCTCCCAGCAGGGACCAGGCAGTGTACACAGACCTTGACTCTGTTTGGAAGACTGGGCAGCCCCATCTTCTCTCTTAGCCAGCAAAGCAACTTTGCCCAAAATTGTCCTTCTACTCCTTTGTTCCAGTCCCAGTGGTAATTACTGGTTTGATGTAAGGGGTGTTTTTTGGCATCATGCTTTTAATATTCAGGCTTTATTTTATAATCATGAGGGGGGTTTCTTTTTAACAGT